TTTTCTGACATGAAAAAACATTATTGTAAAAATAATAATAATTTATTTCTTAAAGTTTTTTTTTTTAAATACACTGAAGGTGAGTGCTAAAGAAGGTTTGACAAATAAAAAGGTTGAATACATTGAAGGGAAAACAAAAAAAATATGTCGAATACATGCATTGTTTGACAAAAACATTTGAGATAGAGAGTGGTCGAGTTGGTTGAATTTTTTATATTAGTTTTTTGTTGTAATGAATTTTAAAATGGAAAAAACATGACTGTAACAACATTAGTTATTGTTTGTTTGAAAATTAATATCAAATGTTGGATATCTCGTAACATGTTTTTTTAATGATGTATGGAGGATATATCATAGTCCAAATTCATGTTAATCCCCATATTTGACAAGTCTCTAATAAACAACCACATAATACGTTGAACCAACCCTAGACTAGACACGACAACATATCTACGTTACTACGTAATTAATTTTGGACTATATATGAGTAAATTCAATGTTCAATAAAACCTACTTGGGTTTTTTTTGTTCTAGAATCTACTTGTGTTCTCTCAACCAAACTGAACCGGTTTGTTCCCTAAACAAAAAAAAAACCAAAAAATTCTTAAAAAATGTATCATTTCCAAGTTTTTTTAATAAATGTATCATCTTCTTCGACCAAAATATATATATATATAATCTCCAAGTTGCATCATCATTTACAACTTACAAGTTATCAGAAAAAGAGCAATTGGTGAGGTTTTTACACGTAGAAAGCAAACAATATTATTGTTTGAATGCAATGAATTATATATGAATGTGATAGTTAAAGGTTGAATACATTGAAGGAAAGGACATAGTTTGAGTACATGCATTGCTGACAAACCATTTTTTGTTTGTTTGATTAAAATTGTTGACAAATTAAGCATTGGGAGGTTGAATTCTTTGAACTTTTATAGATCTATATTTTAAAGGAAATATAAAAATGCATAATCGTAACGGCATGTATTATTGTTTGTTTAAAAACAAAAACCACGTACATGGTGGGTATGTCGTTAAATAATTTATTTTATTCTAGATCTAATAAATCTCTAAGAAAAGTGACAAGTATCACTCTAAAGAAATGAATGTGTAATGCCTAGGTCTGGGCACAAATACTCGTTACTCGGCTTGTACATGCTACTAGGCCCGTACTTGTCTCGGTCAAGTCGAGTAACAAGTCAGCATATTCTTTTACTTGCAAGTTCGAACCAAGTATCAAGCCAACAATTTTTTTTTACTATTTGACTCGTTATTCGGCTTGATATTTGTTTACATTACTTGTCTTGATATTTGTTAATAATCACTTGTAAATACATGAAGCTATAGGCAAATTATCTTTTGGAATTTTAATGTTTTGTGATTCTAGGATGTTTGAACATGAATGTTTTGTAAGAACTTTGAATGTTTTGTAATTTGTATGGAGATTCTTTTGATTTTCAAGTATTTTCAAGTCAAGTATATGATTTTGGCAAGTAACAAGCCGAGTTAAATTACTTGCAAGTCACATGATTTTGGATGAGTACTTGATTGAGCAAGTATTTGTTTCGAATGAGTCAAGTATCAAACCGAAATTTTTGTTACTTGAACAAGCCAAGCCGAGTCACAAATACTTGAAAATACTCGGCTTGTGCCCAGGCCTACCTTTAACTATCACATTCATATATAATTCATTGCATTCAAACAATAATATTGTTTGCTTTCTACAAAAAATAATAATTTGATTGATAATTTGGATTTGTAAGACGGATCTACAATGGTATTAGTTTCCGATTTTTATTCACAAGCTTAATTTTTTTTTTTGTTATGTGGACTTTCCAAACAAATTATCGTATCGGTGAATCTGTACCAATTAATATAATATTAATAAAACATACATATACACTATGTATGTGAATTACGTTTAATGTATATACGTTGTCATTTTGCTAGGAAACCTAAGGATGAAGCTGAAAATGACGTTGGAGACATGGAAAAAGTCATTTTGATAATAGCCGTACATCTACAATTTGACAAAGAATTTACTTTCTCGGCTGATCATTAATTGAATTTAGTCGAATTTGTCTCAATTATGAGTACGGTTTTTTAAAATAGATGTTACCCCAAAAAAAAGAAAGAACAAGTTCCCTTTTTTCTTCAATGGGTAAAGTTTTTAGCACCACTAAGTTCACCAATTAAACCATTAATCATTTATGGCAGAACTTTATTTATTTTTTGTCAAATTTCAGATTTTGATTTTCATCAGAAATATTCAATCTACAAATTGTGGAACACAAAATATTTAGGAGAACTGAGTTGAATAACCAAAAGAGGAAAAAACTATAACTAAAACTTAACTAATTACCTTAAATTTAATGAATATGACTAGGCCAGGCCAATTTTGATTAATTGTCTAATCTTATATAATATTTTAAAGTTTTTCTAAACCCAAGTCATGAGAAGATACCATGTGTCACCTATTTTTTTGATATTTGTCTTTTTGATATATTTATTAAAAAGAAAAAAAATTAAGTGTTTTTAATAAATTTAACAATTAATTCCTACAATTTAATACTCCATCTGTCCCAAAATATAAGATTTTCTAGACTTTTTATTTTGTTCCCAAATATAAGATTTTCTCAAGTTTCTAAGCAAATTTATTGAATTAGACTTAAGAAAAAAAGATGAAATATGGATGTCAAAGTTGACCAAAGATATACGAGTGGCTGTTTGTATTCTTTTATTCACGTTTTTAATTTATTATTTAATGATATTTTTGTTAAAAAAATATTTTCTTAATTTCTGTGCATTCAACTAGAAAATCATATATTTTGGAACAAAGGGAGTAGCTAAGTTTAATGTAAGTTAATTCCAAAAAACTAAAGTGTAACATAAGGATGACCAATTTCAGTTTTTTTTTCTTTGATATCCACCAAAAATTATAATTCCAAATTAAATGTGTTATTGTAAACTTTTAACGGTTTGAAACATATATATTTTATTTATTAAACCCATCAATATACTATACAAAAATATTTAAAACTTTAGATAGTTAACTACGATTTTAAACAAAAAATCACAAAAAGTTTTAATAAAAAAAATCATAACATTAACAAAAAAAAATAGTGTGAGAAAATTAATTAGTGATTTTAGGAATTTTAAGGTTGTTAGAATGCTAAAGTTGTCAATCATCTCTTAACCAATACTTTCGAAAAGAAACTTTACTCCTCCACAAATTGTGAATAAAAAAAACATAATAATTCACGAATGAATCGATGTAAAAGATAAAAATCGTAGAAAAGATGCATTCCAACATCTCTGTTGAGATAATGCAGATGTTTCGATAGAAGCAAAACATATTACAACTTATCTGATCAATATATTTTTTTACCAACGTATTTGATGCAAGAAAAAAGCCGATCAATCATTTTTTTAGGGAACCGTAGTGAATATTGATAAATTAGACATACAAAGTTGTGGATTTGTGCAAAAAAAGATATCTTATATATGCATACGCTGTAATTTTTATAAATAAACAGTCTATTTTTTTCACATATAACATTGTAAACGTCCAACAATTTACTCCAAATGCTTAATCTTCTAATCTAGATAATTATTTAGTACAACAACAATTTTTTATAATATTTAATACACAAATATTCAATAAATTAGAATTGTTGCATATTTTACCATGTTAATTTTTAAATTCACACAATGCGTGGACAATCACTAGTTATTATTATTTTTTGGTTATTGAGCACTTGAATCCAAATACTTAATCCACAAAAGATTACAATTACAATTTCTATAAAAGGGCAGAACTACAAACTTGGTCATAATAATACACTTCTGATTGTTGACAAAAATAATAATAATACACTTCTGTTTATAATAAAAATCGAGTTATCAA